TACCCTTGAACAAATTGGTATAGGAGACCACTTCCTGAACATAACTCCAGGAGCACAGACACTGAGATCAACAATTAATAAATGGGACCTCCTCAAATTTAGAAGCTTCTTTAAGGCATTGTAGAATGTTTTTAAAAGGATAAAATTAGTATTTAAAAGATTAAAAAGGCTGACATGAAAATCCTAAACTTTTTAATATAATCTGAACAGATGATTTCTCTGAATTTCTTTCGGAGAAAATATATATATATATATATATATATATATATATATATATATATATATTGATTTGGCATGTTACAGTTCTGTTAATTGGCTTTCAAGTTTGCAGAAAAGCTAGAATTTCGAACAAACTTTGTCATCTGTGGTGTAAAGTAAGCAGAGTGTTTGAAATTCAGCTTGTAGTTGGTTACTCTGCAGAAGTTTAACTAGTGCAACTGACTACTATAACAGTCAGTTTAACAGACATTTGAAAGTGTCAAGTTGAAAGCAGAAAGATGCCCAGTGCCCTGCTCTGAACTTGACATGTCCACAGAGGTACAGTCATATGCATCTATCACATATAGCATGCATACACACGTGCCTTGCACACAAGAATAATCTGAAAATTTAGTATTTTGTGGCATAATATTGTCCATTTGACAGTGCTCTGGGTTGTGCTAATGATTTCATTTTAGGTTCAGTTGATTTTGGTTAGGATGACTTTTCTACAGATTAGAGTAGGTTATAGAAATTACATATTATTAGATTTTCAGGACCTATGTGACCTATAATGTCCATCAGAACTTTATAAAATTGGGAGGCCTTACATTTTATGCATTCTTATTTATAATTAATTGATATTCTTGATGAGTTATTCTCACAACTAATATGTAGTGGCTTGCTTTTGATCTCTTTTGACTAATTTTACTGTTAAGTTTACTTTATTAGCTATCAGTACAGCTATCAGTTTCTGTTTGCTTGGTAGATTTTCACCCTTTGACCCAGTCTTTTGGTCCCTTTACCAGTGTGATGTATTTTTGGAAACAACAAGTTAGATTTAGTTTTTCAATTCAGTCTAACAAACTGTGTCTCTTCATTGGTGAGTTCAGATCATTTACTTTTTAAGTTAATATTGAGACACTTATTTTTTATTATAATTTTGTTAGTTGTTTTCTGACTTGTTGGACCATTGTTGTTTGCTCTTTTTTCCTGTTAGTATCAGGCTGTGTTGGTTTACCACACTGAACATGATGAACTCTCGTAGGTTTCTTTCCTTCATGCCTTCCTGCCACAGAATTTGCTCTTTTCTGTGCACATGTTATTGAGACTGCCTCACTTTCTGTGTGTAGTGTCCTTGTAATAAATATCTCCTATTGCTCTGACTTGGTGGTCATGAACTGCTTTAGTTTGTGCTTACATTTAAATGTGTCTCTGTTGGATAACAAAGTTCCATGTCTCCTGATTTTTAATAGATCTGATTTTATTTTAAATTCTAATGTTTGCCTTTGTGAGTTCAAGGTTTTCCCCATACAGCTTTTGATATTGTTTCTTTGCATTAGATTGTTTTACAGTTTGACTTTATTGTGTTTTGAAAAGATTCCCTTATCTGGTTGGGATTTTAAGCATCTCTTGTGTTTGAATGTCTATCTTTATATGTTTGGGAAGTTTTCTGCTATAATTTCATCAAATACATTTTCAGTTCCTTAAATGTTTATCTATTCTATGAGTTAATAGATTTGTTACTTAGATTGTATTTCAGAATTCCTATATGTTCTTGTCATGCCCAGTTATTTACTTTTACTTATTGATGTTTAATTATAGTTCTTTGTTCTTTGTTGACCTTTATCTCTGAATTGTTCTGTTCTGTCTTTATCTGGTCAATTCTATTGATACTTTCTGTTATGCAGTTACTCCCCCCCCCTTAAAATTTTTATTCCACTTTACCACTCTCCCCCCGCAAAATCAGTTTCCTTGTTGAATTTTTCTTCAATTATGCTTTTTTTTTTTAATAAATATTGCTGATTATTTCCTATCCATTTTCCTTTTCCCTTTTTTTTCAGGTGTTGTGGACTTTTTGGTTCCTGGATTCAATTTATGTGCTTGTTGTTATACTTTTTCATGTATTTATTTTAACTGGTAAACTTATGATATTTTCATCTCCCATTTCTATATTTTAGTATGATGTGCTTTGGTAACTGATGTATTAACGTCATTTGGAGGAATCATGACACCTTAGTTTTTCTTGTATCTTGTGTTTCTGTACTCTAATTTGCATGTTTCTTTGTGTGGCTTTATCTTCTAGTTTTATTTACTCTTGCTTTAACAGAATCAAGTCATAGAAATACAGACTTATGTTTAGTTGTGGTGACAAAGTCAGGGATGGTGATGCCTCCTGAAGTTCTTTTATTGTACAGGGTTCTTTTGGCTATCCTAGGTCTTTTGTTTTTCCATATAAAGTTGACAGTGTTTGTGGTCTAATAAAGCTTTCCTAGAGATCAGAATGCAAAGCTAGCCATAGCTATAGAAGCTGGGCAGTCGTGGTACACAGTTTTAATCCCAGGACTCAGGAGACAGAGGCAGATGGATCTCTGTGAGTTCAAGGCCACCCAGGGTTACATGAGAGGGAATAAGTCTAAAAGAGAGTAATAGGAGCAGGGCCTGGTATTCTGGTGATTAGTCTCTAGCCACATTGAGGGACAGGATCCTTCTTTCAGCCTTAATAGAGCTCTCTGGTGGCTTGGCTGCTTTGCTTCTCTGATTTTCAGCTTGAACCCCAGTATCAGTGTCTGGGTTGTTATTATTTTGTGCAACACTTAATGTCTATTAAAGCCTTTTAATATATCAATGGCTATAAAACAGCAAATGGAGAAACTACTATAATGTAGTTTCAAGTTATATACTATAATGTTCTTTCAAGTTAGAAATTAAGTATGATAAGTATGGACATACTTAATGCAATAAAGTCAGTGTTTTACTTTTCTACTGCAGTGACAAAGCACCATGACCAAGGCAATTTACAATTTAATTTGGGTTTCATAGTTCCGGCGGTTTACAGTCTAAAATAATCTAGACGGGACCATGGTGGCAGGCAGGAAAGCAGGCAGGCATGGTGCTGGACACTAGCTGAGAGTTTACGTGTGATCCAGGAGCATGAGGTAGAGAAGACTCGCTCTTTCTCTCTCTCTCTCTCTCTCTCTCTCAGTGAAGGGTGGAAAATAAAGAAAAATGTAAAATTAAATGTAAAATTGTATCTTTTTAATTCAATGCATTCAAGTTCAAATAGTATTAAAAGTAGAAAGGGAAAAGAGAAGCATCATATAGAAGCAAAACAAGATAAGGAGAAGGGGAAAAGGTAACTAATAAATGCATAAAATTAGATTAAGATAAAAAAGAATAACAAAAATCATAATGTAAAAATATACTAAATAAAATATTAAAGTTTATTTTACAAAAGGAAAGTGGAAGACAAAGATGTCTTTGTGCACTATAACATATATGTTGAGAGGATCTGGTGAATTTGTGACCTTTTGTCTGTTTTTTCTGATTTATGCTATTGCTTAGTCTGTATTGGATGAGTGTCTGATATCTGCCAGAACTGTCTTCACTTCAATAGCTTCTTCTTGTTCATGTAGTGGGACCTCTAGCATCACACTTAACTTTGTAGTCTCTGGGCTGGGCAGGCTATCCCCCCTTATTGAGATACTACCCCTTTCTTGGTAGTGCTCTAGGGGTGGCTAATCATCTAGTTAGTGGATGCTTTTCAAGTGTGTTGGAACTGTTGGAGTTAGCTTTAACACAGGTGTAATACCTGCCTTTGCACTCTCAAGATAGGTGGCTCCAGAGTTTTATCTTCCTGTTGACTTAGGCTGAGAGCTTGAACTCTCCAGGGTGATTCTCATTTTATTAATCTGTTCCCAGAACTTCCTCATCTTATTGGAGCCTCTTGCTACACACACTCTGCTACTTTTCAGTGTCTGATACTCATTCTATACAACTGCTTTACCCAGGGCTTGTGGCATGCCACATTGAGATTCCTTGATCTATAGCAGCTCCCTTTATGCACTCTCCCGGGATGGCTCAGGGATTTTTATTGTTGTTTGCTTTAGTTTTTGTTTGTTTTTTACAATAGGTTCTTTTTTAAGATGGTACCTTTGCCACTGCCCTTACAGTGGGGTTTCTCTCTATCTCTGACCCATCACCTGAAGCAATTGCTGTTTTATTAAACCCATAATTGGATGGATTCTAGGCTTGTGAGGGTTGTGGGCTCTTTCTAAAGGTAGGACTACCCATGTGTTGCTTGGCTTATTTTAGAAGTAAGTGCCTTCTGCTTTCCTTTCCCTTATGAGAGAGTTATGAGACTCTAAAATTAATATTTTAAACCATTGTACTGTACTTCTTTTCTTTGAAGTCTTCTTAGATATTCCCTGACATAATCTAGTCAGTTCATGACTAATTCTAGTGACTGTGTATACCAAGAATTACAAGCTGTTTATTGTTTCAGAAGACTTCATAGTGTAAAAGCTACCTTCTTAATATGTTTGATACTACAATACCATGCCAAGGGAATAACAAGGGGCATAATTATAAATAATGAAACCATAGAGGAGTAAAAATGGCAAGTCTGCCCAGAGGTTAAAAAAAAATGGAATGAGCATGATTTCGCCTATACCTTAAAGGTTTGGTTTTGCTATGAAAAAGTTGGGGCATACAAATCGATAGTGCTAAAATAAATAGGTATTTCAGATGGTAGAAGCTGCTAAAGCAAAGTTAAAGATACAGGAAAGAACAAGTTGTGTTTGGGAAAAAATGTAAGAGTCTTATTTAACTGATTAAACTGGTCCTAGTGGTGATGGCCTGGAAAGAAATACTAAGGTTAGGTTGTGAATAACTTGGAACCTGTGGAGAGCTCTCAGTTGCAGTATGTTCTGTTTAGAATAACACTGTGTAGTTGTCAACTGTTTACTTAATGGTTTAAGTACTTGTATATTTAAAGAGATATTTGACTTTACTTGTTATAGAATGCCAGTTAATGAAAACAGAACGACCAAAGCCAAATACATTTATTATCAGATGTCTTCAGTGGACCACTGTTATAGAGAGAACATTTCATGTAGATACTCCAGAGGAAAGGTAAGAGACTTGCTTATTTTTATTATGTTAAAGATAGTATAAAGATGTATTTGTAGCTGGATTACTTGTAATTAGATATAAATACATTTGCACTGTGTTACCTTTTATTCTGTTTCTGTTGTCTTACATGTTTTACTGGGGCTGAAAAATGATGAATCACCCTTGGACTACTTTAAAATAAGCTTTTTCAGAGAAAACAGCATACAGTATTTTTAAAACTTGAACACAGTTTATATACAAAGTATCTTTATAATATGTACAGTTGATTGTACTCATGTCTGAAATTCTGAATGAAATATGGTAGTAAATGGTTTCAAGTAGCATTCCTGTCCATATTCATATTCATTTCAGGTGGCTTCCTGCAATACTATGTTGAGAAGGATTCTGAGACTTGTGTCTTAAGTTTAGAATACTAATAAGTGATATGATTGATTAGTGTACTGATTATTTTGTGAGTGATGAGAGTAGCAGCACCATGATACTGATGAGCTCTGTGGCATATATGAGGCCATGCTTCCATTCTTTTGATCCATACTGGTTTTGTTCTATTTCTCTACTTTATAGTTCTATCTTCATGCTCTTTTATCTTATGGCTTATTAATAAGCTCGGTCTGGCAACACCAATCAACAAGTTGTTTTCCTACAAATGTTACTGTATTTGGCCCTAATCAATGACTTTCAAAGTAGAATGTTAATAGCCTTTTTTTCTAAATGGATAACTTAGTCTAACAGTCCTCCCTAAGAATTTCATGAAAATAAAATAATCTTTTAAAATCCTAACAAATGATCAGTGACAAAAGTTTTTGAAATAATGTATTATTGAACCAAGGGTTTGCACATCCTAGGTGAGTGCTCTATAATTGGGCTACAGACCTAGTCCTAGCACTTTTTTCTAATTTTTTAATTTTAATAATACTTTCAATCAATAAATTGTGATGTGTCATTTCTTTAGGGAATATATAAAAAAAACCACCAGTTTGACACTGATAATAGTTTATTTTCTAGACGCGTAATATTATGCTTGGTTTTAGAGTGCATACATGCTGTGTGCCCCAGCCCCAGTTTTTACTTGTGATTATGTTGAACTTTACACTTATCTGCCCTGGGCTTTTTGCACTGTGTTCTTCATTTGTTTGTGCTTCACCAAGAACTAAAGTCATGATAGTTGTAGTGTCCTTTGGATCTTAGTGTCAAGCAGCAGTTCCCCCAGCACTTTTTTTGGTAGGCTAGGTAGGTACCCTGGCTATATAGACATGGCTTTTGTTCCCTTTTCCTTTTCACTTTGTGTTTTGCCTTTATGAGTGTCCATGTACCATTTATATATACTGCCCCTGGAGACCTGATGAGGGTTTCAGATATGGAACTAGAGACAAACAGAAGGTTGTTAGCTCCCTGGTGAGTGCTAAATATCAAATAAAACCTGAGTCCTCTGGAATAGCAGCTGATGCTCTTAACCACTGAGCATCCTTCTAGCCCACCCTAGCTTTTTAACCAAGTGTATCATCGTTACAACCTTTGTTTGCCTTTGTAACCTTCTTGACAGCAAGCATCATTCATCAGTTGACAGACATGCACCTTGTTTTGTTTTATTTTTCCTTTAAAGTCTTCAGCACACAGTCCAGGATGTGATGACAAAGTGCTTGATAGATGATTGAATTAATGCAATGCTCCCTTGTTATTTAACATTGACTGAAGCTTGATTTGTTTCGAATTGTTTCCAAAGTTGGTTATGAGTTGGGCCTTTTAAGTTTGGGGTGAGAGGGAATAGACAGTTTCTTGTTCTGCAGTTCAGGTCAGCCTGAAACTTAACAGTGTCACCCAGGCCAGCTTCAGACTTTTGACAGTCCTCTGCCTTAACTCCCTGAGGACTGAGATAGATATGAGATATGAGATAGACAGAATTAAGCCTCAAAAGCCTTCTGACATTCCTGCAATATCAGTCTACTCATCGGAAGACTCAGTTTTCACTTATATTTATGTTTAAGAAAATGGTAATCTGCCTTTTGAGTGTGCTATTAGAGTATGTTTGTCTGCATTCATAAAGTATTGACTGTCTGGGGATTTCATAGCTCTCATCTAATGTCAGTGAGGACTTAGATGTGCTTGGGGTTAGAAATTCTGTATGTAATATTCTGGCCCTAGTCGGAAATTCTTTTGTATTGTAAACTAAATGGATCCCTGTAGGGTGTGCTACATTTATTTAATGGATAATATAAAATTAGGCAAGTTTTTCAATGTGGGTAGTCCAACAAGGTCACAGATCTTACTAATGCATTCTTTTTCACAATTATTAAAACACATGTACATGTGCATGAGTGCGTGGGTCTATGTATGTGTGTATGTGAGTGTAGGCTTTTAGATTTTCATTTTCTTTTTTGTCTTCATTTTTGTGTTGTCCTTAATAGTACTCCTGGCTTTAATCAGAAAAACTTTATTAAACCTTAAGCCAGTTTCCCATATCTTTTGTTGTTTAGATAAAAATGTTCCTAGATATTTTACTGCAATTTTGTTTGTAAAATTAAGTTTGTTAACTTATAGTTGAAAATAAAATTATACATATTAGTGGATAAAATCTCATATTTTAGTGCATGTATAAATTTTTAGACCTATCTTCTCAAACATTTAAGATAATTCTTAGAAATGCACAGTGTAAGTGGAACCAGGATGTATCCCTGGTGCACAAAAGGACTTTGGTAGCATGTTCCCCATGAAGGGATACTACCTTAACCTAGAAGCAGGAGGGAGGGCCTAGTCCCTACTCCAAATGACTTGACAGATTTAGATGACCCCTCCAGGAAGGCATCACCCTACATGTGGAGTGTGGAGGGGAATGGGATGGGAGGGTGGTCGGGGACTATGGGAGGTGGAAAAGAGGGAGGGACAGAGAGGGAACTGGGATTGATATGTAAAATAAGAATAATAAAAAAAATGAAGTCTAAAAAAAGAAATGCACAGTATGTTATTATCTGGCGACCCAACTGTATGCTAGCATATCATAATTTTTTCTTCAACTGTTTTCATATTCACTAATCAGCCTTTCACCATCCATCTGTCCCCTTGTACTGTCTCTGTAGCCTTTGATCATTACTACTGTCTTCAGAAATGGAAGATAAAACCTTTAGGTTCTTCACATACATGATATAACGTCCTTTCTGTGCCCAGATTTCTTGGCCTACTGACCTCTAATTCCATCCCTGTTGCCTTAAATGACAAGATTATTTTCTAAGAGTGAAGAATATTCTGCTCTTTGTATATGTTAAATTTTCTTTATGCATTCATCAGTTGTAGACACTTAGGTTAGTTCCACGTTGACTTGTTTGAATAGTACTACAGTGAACATGGTCAAGCAAGTGCCTTTTTGAATGGCCAATTTAATTCTTTTGGATAAATGCCCAGAAATAGGATGGCTGGATCAGAGGGTAGTTTTTGAATTTTTGAAGGTTTTGCCATACTCCTTTTCATGTCACCTGTCACTAGTACCACTGCTAACACCTGTTGTCATCTATTTCCCTATTAATATGTCCTCTATTGCAAGGAGTGAGATATGGTATAACTTGAATTTACCTGAAGATGAAAATACTGAGAATAAACTTTGTATCCCTTTGGATTCTTTTTATGGCTTTGGAGAATTGCCCATTTGAGTCTTTTGTTCATTTTTAATTGAATTAGTTGTTTGGTTTTTGTTTGTTTTTGGCTATTGAGTTGTAGTTTTTTTAATCAAAATTTGGAAACTAACCCCCTTTCTTTTTGGGGAAAGTGTGTGGGGACACAGAGTTTCATTATGTCAGGATATAGTTATAGCTAGCCTGGAACTGGCTGTGTAAATCAGTCCAGTTTCATACTTGGAGAATTTCTTTTAAACAAAACAAAAAGCTTTTCATATATATACACATATATATGTAGATACATGTACATACATACATACACACATACACACACACACACACACACACACTCACACACACACATCTCTCAGACACTTTGGCCCATTTCTTGAGTTTCATTTTCATTCTGCTGTTTCCTTGGCTTCACAGATTTTTTAATTGGTGTTCATTTTGTGGCTTGTACGTTTGATGTTATAGTCAAAGATCACTGCTAAAACAGGAGTCATGGAGATTTCATCTTTGTTTTCTTTTAGCTTTGTAGCTTTAAGTCCTTATTTTGAATTATGTATGTGTGAGTGATTTAAAATAAGATTCATATTTCATTATTTTTCATATTGAGTCCCATTTATTCCAAAACCATTTGCTGAAGAAACTCTTCTTTTGGTTTTGGCACCCTTTGAAAGATGACCATGTATGCATGATTTTATTACTTCCTCTATGTGTATTTCTGTCATTCTATGTCCTTACTTAGATACCATAGTGTTTCAGTTATTGTAGCTTTAAAGTGTGTGTCGCGCGCACGAGTGCATGGATGCACTTGTGTGGTCTTTGAGTATTTCTTAAATATATATGATGTATTTTGATTACTACCTCCGATCCTCCCTTCAAGTCACCCTGGATCACTAAGTAGTTCATTGAATCTACTTAGTATCACCAATATTTTCATGGTTTTGGGGATATCTACTGGAGCCTGTTCTCCCAAGCACTACAGTTGGTAAGGGGGTCCCCCGCCTACTTCATGTGTAGAAGGGGTAAGGGAAGTAGGGCATTTTATCCTTACCCACACCACCATATGGCAGATGAGAGGGGCATGACCTTCTCTCTCATTGTTAAGCCTTCAGAGCCAGCTTACCCATGCCCCTGTTAACAGGATCAGATCTCTTGTCTGCCCAGATGAGGTATAGGATCCTTTCTCCTGAGTGCCTCAGTTGGTGAATGGTAGGAGCAGTTCTCTCTCCTTAGAGTTATAGCCAGTGAGGGGTGAAGCCAGCTCTGTACTCCCTATCCTCTAGGCCTTCAGTGGTATCAGGGCTACACACATGAACACAGACCTTGGCTGCATTAGGTCCATGAACTCAGATATGGGCCTCAGCACCAGCCCAGGCCCAGACATTACCATGCCCCTGGATGGCAATCAAGCCACCCACCTCAGCCTGGTCCTCACTGCTTTTATCTCTTCAGATATGCCTCTGACCACAGGACATGAACCATTGTCTGGCTCTCTATCTCTTTATCTCTATCTCTTCTTTCTCTCTCTCCTCTCCATACATTTGCTCACCATAATAGTGCCCTTCTGGATGGCATCACAAGGCACAGGGTAAGCTCATGTTTTTCCTCAGAGCCCGGTGTGTGGGTCTCCTTGTTCTGCTCAGTTTGTCATGTTGCTAGGGCACCAGGGTTTTTGTTTGACAGTCTACATTTTTGTGTGAGTACTATCACCCCAAATGGTAACTTCAAATAAATTGTTTATATGTATGTGTGCATGCAAGTATGTTTGTGTGTGGTGTGTGTGTATGTATGTATGTGTATATATATATATATATATATATATATATATATATTATGTATTTATAGACAAATGTATTTCATACAATATTAAGTGAACACAATATAATTCCCATATAAGTGCTACTCCTGACTCTAGGCCTGCAGCAAAAATGCTTTTAGGATTATCACCTAGAGATGATGGCAGAGAGGGCAGCTATACAGTAGACTATTTTCATTTATTTCATAAATTATTAAAGGTTTAAGTAACTTATCATCTTCTATTAATGAGAAATTGTACTCATTTTTATAGAGAAGAATGGACAGAAGCTATCCAAGCTGTAGCAGACCGACTGCAGAGGCAAGAAGAGGAGAGGATGAATTGTAGTCCAACTTCACAAATTGATAACATAGGGGAGGAAGAGATGGATGCATCTACAACCCATCATAAAAGAAAGGTAGAAAATGGTGACGACTTATTTTACTTCTAAATGCAGTCTTAATTTGCCTAGAAAATAAAATGCTGAAAACTGCTTCTGAGAGAGTTGTCAGCCTTTTTTTTTTTTTTTTTTTTTTTTTACTGTACACATCACTTTGTGAGCCTAAAGTCCCTGTTGCTGAAGGCTTGGTACTGCAGCAACAGCATGGCAGTGTTGAAGGTCTGGTGGGACATAGGAAGGAGCAGTCATTGATGTGCTAAATAGATCTCACTTTATCTTGTTGGCAACAGCATCTTAGAAGTTAATTGAAGTTAAATGGTTTCCTTAAGGTGAAATGTCTGTGCTTTCTACCCAGTGCCTTCAACCTCATTAAACCTACAAAAGTGAGTCTTAGAAATAACACATTTTTTTTTTTTAAAAATTATTGTTCATGAACCAATGAAGGAGAAAACCCACAAGTTTTCTTTCCTCAGTGATCCAGATTAATATATAGTTTTATATATTATATATATATTTTTTCATTCATGCTATAAGAATTTTAAAAATAACTTAATTATGTAAAAAATGATTATCAGAAAATTCTCACATGTAGGGAAGAATGGACGGAAGCTGTCAAGCTGAGACTTGATGGTTATTATAATAGGTTGAAATGCATTTGTATGTATATATTAAATATATATTTGTTGTTTATTTTATAAATTATATTCAGGTGCAAAAAAACAAGTGCTCAAAGTATTTCCAATTATGTTTTTCACTCTTTTAATTAATTTTGTAATGCTTATACTTTGAACTATATGGCATGCAATTGTTTCTCTACTACTGAACTCTACCTTTTGGTGTTAATATATAGTAAGCAGGATTGCTGTTGGTGTTAGATTTCCTGTGTTCAAATCCTTTCCCTTCCACATGCAATCTGTGAACTTACTAGAATTATATAGTCACAATTTAGGGAATTAATTCACTATGTAAAGTTTTTTCTTTAATTAATATACTGTGATGCCTATGAACATTTTCTTTTTCTTTTTAATTTCCCCCATTTTATTTTATATGCAAAATATGGATGTTTTGCTTTCAAGATTATCTGTGTACCAAGTGTGCCCAGAGAGTTGAGAAGAGGGGCATTAGGTTCCCTAGAACTGGAGTTACATATAGTTGAGAACATCATGTGGCAATTGAACTCAAATTCTGTAGTAGATCAGCTAGTGTGCTTAACTGTTGTGCCATTTCTATATACTCCTTAATGTAGACATATCCTCTCTTTTGTAGTTGTTGATTTGAATATACTGGTTATTGTAAGTTGATTTCTCAGTCAGGAATATGAACATAACCTATCTTTACTCATTTATACAGCTGAGAAATTTCCTTTTGCATGAGTGTGTATAGCTTGAAGTTTGACTGTGTTGATAAATTTGAATCAAGTTCCAGTTAATCTCATCCTTTGAATTTTAGACTTCTGCATTTAAAAAGCAAGCTATACCAGCTTTACCCTGTTTAATTTTCTGGAATTCTAAATATATGCTTAACAGATCAGTAAGATACTGTTAAGCCAGGAATTGAAAATGGTGAGTTTGTAACACTGTAACTTGATGTACTACATCCAATCAATTGAAAAATATTGAATATAAGAATGGGTATTGATCAGCAATAAAACTGAATAGAAACACATTTTGAAATTTGTGAGGGTATTTTCTTGAAAAGTCTGGTTATAGATGATAATAACGGAATCGAACTGTTTTTCTTTCTATAATTACTAAATTGAATATAATTCATCTGTTTTACTAATTAACCATTAATAAGCATTTATTTTGTGCTTATTTTGTAATATGCTCTGAGAAGGACTTTTGCATTTATCTTAGCCAATTAAAAGTCACCATTTTATAGTTGAGTCATCTGATAATACAAGTTAAATATTGTACTCAAGTATCTAAGTCTTTTAATTGTACATTATATAACCTTTCTGTGTAACATTTCTTTGGATCATAGGTCAGCAGAATGTTATTGTAAAATAGAGGTAGACCCATGAATCCTGATGACTGGGTAAAACTCCTAACCCATCATTTATCTTCCTCATCTACCAAAATGGAATAACTATAGTACCTAATTTATGTATTTGTGAGTCTTAAGCTAAGGGGATATTTTGCATTTAAATATAGTAAGGATAAAGTCAGTTTCATTAATGGTTATAGCATGAATTCTAATTGGTATTAATAATAAAAAAAAACAGTCAGATATTGGGGTTGATGCTAAAGATCAGAGAAGCAACACAGCCAGCCACTAGAGAGTTCTCACTTCTATCAATGCTCAGACCAAAAGGGCAATCCTGCCCCCAGATTATATCTCCAGACTCTTCTGTTTTTGCCAAACCTCACTGCACTGAGCTCCTGTCTCCTGTTTTATATTCCTCTCTAGTGCTGGGATTAAAGACATGTGGTTACAAGTGTTAGGATCACTTTTGTGTGAGTTCTGTTTCTCTTTTAGACAGATTCAGTCTCATGTAGCTTTGAACTAACAGATCCATCTGCCTTGTCTCCTGAGTGCTGGGATTAAAACTGTTTACCACCATTGCCTGGCCTGTGTGGCTAACTAGTATGGCTTCTGGGATTAAAGGTGTGTGCCACCACTGCCTGGCCTCTATGGCTAATTAGTGTGGCTAACTTTGCACTCTGATCTTCAGGCAAGCTTTATATGTTAGATCATAAACAAAATATCACTACAGATTGTACTTAGTTTCTTTTTTTGTCTCATAAAAGTAATTAAGCATATTTCTACAGATTATCTTAGAATCATTTACTGAAACTTGAGTTTAAAAGTAAAAAACTTAATAGGATATTTTTTTTCAATATTGAGGATCAAACATAGGACCGCATACATATTATATAAATCCTGTACTACTGAGCTATAATTATGGTTACTTTTTATTCTTTTAAAAATTTAGATAGCTTCTTACTAAGTTTTCTAGAGTGGCCTTGAATCCATGCTGTATTCAAGATTGGCTTTAACATATAAAACCCCTGACTCAGCTTCACAAGTAGCTGAGAGTGCAGGTCTCTGCTTCAGGCTCAGCTGATAGAAACATTTTTAGTGTATTTAGGGCTTACCCATATATGATTTCCATTGATTTTTTTTCACATAATTTGAAGGGTATATGGTAGTTTAAAATAGTTTTAAATCACAGGAGTATAAAAAAAGAAATGTTTGTACCACTTGCTGCTCTATACAGTCCAATGATTTAGTTTAAAGTAGTCCATTATTGCAGTCACACATGGCAGCTAGATTTAGTACTGTTTCTTGTATGTGCACCAGTCACCATGAAAAGAATATGATTTATATTTTTCTTTTAATTTCATACTTCAACACATTCAGAATAAAGATGTTTTCATAATTGTTGAAATACATTTTCTTCTTTACTTTTTTTAAATGGGTAGTACTATTCAGAAGACACCTAATGGTCATGATAGCTGTGCTGAAAGCAGTCTTAAACTTTTGCCTCTTGGTCATGAAGACATTTGACTTGTTCCCAGAGTAGAGTATTGCCATAGTATTTGTCCAAGCACCTCAGACTCCACCACTACATAGTGGATAAAAGAGATAAAGTCTGACTATCAGATTTGAATATTATTCTGTTTGAATTAAAACATGTTTTAAAGGGATGTGTATGATTTTGCATACGTATGTAAGGCTTTTGTTGTGTATAGACATTGATTTTATAGGTTAAAATGGCCAGTTTTAAAGTATTCATATTTCTGAAGATTATTCATCCCCTCATCTAGTAATGATTTCCTTTATGTCACTGTATATGTATGTGTGTATATTTGTATGTGCGTGCGTGTATATATGTATTCATGCTATGTAGCCCAGGCTAGCTTTGCACCTATTACAATACTATGGTCTTTGGGATTATAGGTTTGTACTTAATGCCTAGCATTGTAATTGCTTCCATTTTTGTTGTTATTGTTGTTGTTGTTAATCACTAACATTTTTATCATATCTTTTCTTTTATCTCCAAAAGGAAAACATTTTATAATTGCTTATATTTCATTTTGCAAATATTAGGTAGTTTCTGTGTATGCTGTTTTGAGCATATACTTTTGCTATAAAAACCCTTTTAATTTGCTGATGTTTTGTCAAAATAGATACATAACTTGTTTCTAATTATATTATATAGAATACTACTTAACTAATTTAATGTCTATGTAATTTCTTTTTCAAAAGGTTGACAAAGTAACAGAAACTGAAATCCAGTTAAAGACTGTTACATTATTTTCCTTTTTGGCCTCTTGTCCTTAAAATTGCAATCTTTGAGGAATGTAGTTATGTTTTTTATTTGTTGCTTTTCATCTGAAAATGTCATAAAGCAATTTACAAGTTATTATTCCATTTTTCTCTTCAAGTTTGGGAACAACAATAATATTTAGCCATGGTGTATATTAGCTATCTTTTTGTAGTGATTTTAGATGAAAAATAAATGCCATGTTGAACAATGAAATGAATTTTTGACCTTGTTATGAGACTTTTTTTTTTAACCTATTTATTGCCATGGAAGTCCCACAAACATTAGCTGTGCTATTTCTTATGGGTTTGTTGCTGGATGGGCTGTTCTACTGTTCTTGCATAGATCTTCAAATAAGTTATTTTTGATATTCTGATCTTGAAAAGTCCAAAGAAAACTTTCTGTTATATCCCAGGGTTTGCTGTTGCCTTTGTTATCTTCTGCAGTTTCCCTGTGCATGTGGAATCTTATCTTGCAGGGTCTTAGTGCATAGTCTTTTCTCCAACAAGTTAACCTCAACCTCCACAGAAGGAAAGCCATCTCATGAGACTTTCTAAGACAGAAAAAATATGAGATGCCATGTTTCTCTAAAGGCTGACTCTAAAACTGGCATAAACTATTTGATCAAAGACATTTTAAGAAGCCATGATTTTGGAAGAAAAGGAGCGTGCAAGGAAGGACTGGAAAGAGGAAAGGAAGTTGGAGAAATTGTGTACTTACAAACTAAAAACAATACTGTTAAAAACGTCAATCGGATATTGAGGGTCAGGGAGTGAGGAAGGGAGAGGAAGGGGGTAGAGGTGGTAAAGAGACTGCTGCTTGATGGAAACAAGACAGTTATGTTTTGGTCTCATAGTTTGGTTCCTTATCCTCTGAGTTTTTAAGATGTTAATGAAATTAACTTTGTTTAACTATCTATTATTTTCTAATTGACTACCTTTGTAACTTTTCCACATATATTTGATTTATAATTGAATCAATAAGTATATACTGTTTCTCCTGCTCTTTTTGATATTTACTTTTTCCTTTGAACTAGTATTTTAAGACATTATAATTTGACATTTAAACAAAATTATCAGAGTTATAGTCAAGGGATGTTAAAAATGCATGTAGCCATTCATTTATGAATTATATAAAATGGTTTTAATGTCGAATGATTCTTGCCTTAGAGTGAACTGAAAAATATTTCTCCATTTCAATTTTCAACAAAAGTTTGTGTAGAATTGGTACCTTTTTTTTTTTTTTTTATTACATGTTATGGAGTTTCCCTTATTGTGAAAAATTTAGTACAAATTCAGTTTAGCTTATCTATTGCTTTGTCAGTGAGCTTTTGTAGTTTGCAATGTAGGTAATTTGCTCATTTCATTTCAGTGTCCATTTCACTGACATAAAGCTGTTTATTCTCTTATGGTCCTTTTGATACATAGAGGTTTTGTAGTGATGTCACCTTTATCATTTCATGTTGATAATCTTATCTTTGTGTCTACCTTCCTGATCAGTCTGGCTGGAGGGTTCTACATTTAATTATTATTTTCTGCAGTTTCTTTGCTTATATTTTTAAATGTTTATGTTTGTGTTATTGGATACCACTTTTTATGAGGTAGCACTTATTAATTTAACAAAACCTGAGAACATGAATATACTTTTTTAAAAACCTTACTTTACTTTAAAAAATATCATCTGTAAGTTAACTAATAATTTGACCCTTGGAGAAATTCTAGCTTCAAAATAATTTCTGCAAACTCTGAAAACTACATTAAGTATGTTTGGTATGGAATGTTGCTCAAGCGTTGCTTTTTTTTTTCATTCAAATTGGTCAGAAAAGTAGTAGGATCAATATTGAGTTTATAGTGCTAGCATTGGAAGGAGACTAACAGTAAATTGTGCCAACAATTTCATCATGATTTTCTGATTTATATTTTTCAGACAATGAATGATTTTGACTATTTGAAACTACTAGGTAAAGGCACTTTTGGGAAGGTTATTTTAGTTCGAGAAAAGGCAAGTGGAAAATACTATGCTATGAAGATTCTGAAGAAAGAAGTCATTATTGCAAAGGTAATTGAGTCTAAAAGCCACTGACTCGTTTTTCTGTAGTATGAACATGTATCTGTGTATATTTTTGTAAATGACATAGAGACTTCATGAAGCAATCAAAATATTGAGTATAAGCTATTACTTTAAGTAATACTTATTAGTAGACAAAAGTGTTAATTTTAAGGTTTTCAGCAGCATATTATATTATGTAAATTAGTGAAACTTCTATTTCGTGGAGGAAATAATTTTCATTTGTTAACTGGGAGGAATGTTTTAACTATATTTGTAATGCACATCAGTAATTGCATTAGTGTTATGTATTTGTGCCATCCCCATTTCACTATCCATTTTTCAGTTGAAGGACATGTAGGTGGTTTTTATTTCGTAGCTAATATGCATAGAGAGCGATGAACATGGCTGAACAGTATCTATTGAGTGGGCTGTTGAGTCCTTTCGTCATATGCTAAGAAGAGCTCTATATACACAGGTCACATGGTAGGTTTAATTTTAACTTTTTTGAGGACTCTACCACAATGATTCCCAGAGTGCCTAGATCAGCTTTGAATCCCAACAGTGAAGGTGGGTTCACCTTTCCCCAAATTTCCTCCAGCATTTGTTGACAGTTGTCTTGTTGATCTTTTCCAAATGATTGGTAAGATGAAATTTCAAAATTGTTTTGATTTGTATTTCCCTAATTGCTAGGGATTAAGAACATTTTTTGAGCTATTTTTTTTTGCCCCCCTCCACACCTTTATTTTGAGACTTTGTTGTTTAGATCTTAGGCCCATTTTTTTTAATAGTTCATTTGTTTTTATACTCCTTGTTTTTGATCACTATAGGGAAAATAAAATAATGAATGCATTAGGAAACAATATCTGGGAATGAGAAACCAAAAATAGAGAAATGGAGAATATTGAGTGGCTAATTTTAACATGATGGATCATTCAAAGGAAATATATTATCTGTGAGATTTTAAAGCAAGAGTAATAAAGTACAAGGTATAAAATTTGCTAGAACTGAGGAAGATTTTAGACTGAAAGGGTCTACTTCATGCCAGTGAGTATAGGAATTATGTCTACATGTTCAGGATATTTTGAATGTCAAGGCAATATGCTTTCCAGTTCAAGAAATGCTAAGTGACAGGACCTTGATGGGAGTCAAAGAGGATGTGCCACTCCATCCAAGTATTATTTGAAACAGAAGCATCAGTAATAAACACCAAGCATAACACTTGAGAGTGGTGAATCACTATTCATAGGTAACCTTTGCCCCCTTTCAAGTAGGCAAAAAACATCCTAAGAAGAAGTTAAGGGATAGTGAGAAAGCAAATAGAGAGGGAAGAAACATTGTAAGTTCATATCTAGTCCATTGCTCAAACTTAAGGATGGGGAAATGAGAGCCATGATTCAGAACTTGATAAGTATGACATATCTCATAGAAAGCAAGTGGGCAAGTAGGACGAAGTTGCTAATACATGGCTTGTGGAGACAGTGAGCAAATAAACAGTGATCCTTGAAAGTTACCATACATTAAGTAAAATAGTGTGCCTTCTGCCCTTCTTCGCTTGTGTCTAATACTCACTTCATCTTCTTTCATTTCATTTATTGCTCTGGAGGGAGGGAGGATGTAAATGTTTTCAGACATGATATATCATGATGTCAGCTAGCTTGTGACAGAGTCAGTCACAGGAGACCTACTGCAGTTATACAGAAAATAATTTGAGTAGAACAATGATCTGGATAAGTGGGCATTGAACTGTTTGAAAATAAGAGGCAGAGGAAGTAGAAGTGAGCATCGTAATTGGAGGTAGAGATGGATTAATAGTCTGTGCTTGAATTATGTTGTCGAAACTTCAGTATACTAATATAGTCATAATCCTAAACCCAGGTTTCATCTTTGGATCTTTGTTAATAGTATAAACATATTTTCCTGTTCTGGTTTTAATTGATGTTCTTTCCTTCTATCTTTTTTCACTCAAACAAACAACACAACTGCCATAAAACAGGGAGTGAGCAAATGAAGGAAGAATTTTAGGCCACATGGTTAGTGATAATATTGGAAATAATGATGGCACCTCATGGTCTCCAGCAATAGTTCCCTTCCAAAACTTCTTTCTTTGAAAGAAATTAGACTTGAAGACTCATTATTTACTATTTCAGGATAGTCAGATATAAGGAAATCTGTATTTCAAAGGCATTTTATGAGAACATTATCCTTCTAAATTTTAGTTCTTTAAAAGCTCTGCATTTCTAAATTATGATCAACAAATGAATTTTTAAATAATCATCACATTGTTATAGCTACTAAGTATTGCCACTGTTATTTTTAACTTCTTGTTTTGACATGTTGCTTTTTACTGTAATTAAAATTATTGGCATCTGTGTTTACTTTTTAGCTTGTACATACCATATCTTCATAGAAAAACTAATTAGTATATGAGATACAGTATCATTAAATTTGTATTAATGGGAAATTTTCTAACCTTAAATATAAATTATGATAGAAACTACATTTTGATGTATTAATTGGTATATCCTGTTACCCCTCAATTATGTTCTTATAACAAAGAATTTTCTTTTATCTCTGTGTAGCTTTGCTTGGCTATGCACATGTGGTTAAGTAGATTGAAGAATTTAAAGGAGGAAAGGTCTCCTGTCATGAAATTTACTAACTGATCTAGGAAAACATTGTATGTAATCTTGCTTTTTTCACCAAAATAAAATGAAATACCCCACGAAGTTTTCTAAAGCACCAGATTATCTTTTCTGATAATAAATTGATTTGCTCTTCATTCTTTTTAGTCTTTCTCTAATTTACTGACAGGTTATTTAGCATATTACTCCATACCTTTTCTGCAAATACCTTCATCACTGCATATAAAGACATTTCTTTTGGTTTACCTTTTTGGTGGAGGCATGTAACTTTTAGAATATTTCTGTTGAGTTTAATTCTAAAACTATCTCCAACTACTGCATTAGCCTAAATTATCTTATTTCTATTTTGGAGTACTTTAATGGTCTCCTAATTGCTTCTTTCTCTTTTACTAAACTCATCAGTATAGCATCAGTAAATTTTCTGTGTAGCTTTGTAGAATGGGCTGGCCTTGAACTCATAGAGATACAGCTGCCTCTGCCTCTTGAGTTCTGGGATTAATGCATGCACCACCACTGCCCCACAGCATCAGTAAACTTTAAAAAGTGTGTGTGTATGCTTAGGTTCTATTGGTTTTTCCTTCTCTAACTCACTTAAAATATTATATAAACCCTTTCTTGTTAATAGTGTATTAGTTTTAAATTGATTACTTTTAAATTTATTATCCTCACTAGCCGGTGAAATGTGAATAAAGAAGCCTACCTTTTTATTATAAAATAACTTTTTACCTATATTGTTGTTAACATTTAATAAGTTCACTGCAAGCAATTTTTAAATAAATTTATTTCTGTGTATTACTTGTTTAATTATGTGTTTAATGTGATTCATATTATATGATGCTTATTACCCAATGCCTATTTGGCTTTCTCCACTTATAATGATCAGTTTTTAACCAATTAGAATGAAATTTCCATGAGAAGAGGACTTCTGTTTTGTTCAAGGCCCTATCTCCAGTGTGTAAGTTATACCTAGATAGTCTGCATAGTTGTTGATGTAAAGGTTGAATGAACAAGCTTTTGGATTTATGACATTCAGTTCAAACATTAAGTGCTTGCTGTATGGTAACCATTATATACTAGGTACTAATGAGTATAAAAAGCTGTAAGTTCTTGTGTGTCAATTCTGCTTCTAACTTATTTTCTGTTATAACATTGCTGTAATTGATTTAGGGATAATAGTATAGTATGGCAGTGTCTTGAAATTGTTTTGAGTACTTAAGCCTGGCTTTTATAAAATAAATAAGACTGAAGTGGTTTATTTATCCTTGGCTTAACTTGCTTTAAATACTACATTGTTAATTCAGTTTACTTTTTGTTCATACATAGTTGGTATTCCCTTGTCCAAATGATCTTAGAATATTAGCTTTTTTTCATAAATCTGTTTCTCATTTATGTTCTAGGCATAAACTAAGGTAAATGCTTTTATAAGATAAGAAGTATAATTCAGGGTCTTGATGCTCTACTCTTCATTTCTTTCTTTATGATCTAATTTTTATTTGCCAACAGTGTTGTTGATCCAGCAAGGTATTTGTTTAAGAATTTCCTAGAAGCAAACTGTAGAGATGCCAATTGCTTTTCTTTCTTACTTCTTTAAGGTGATAAACCTTTGAAATGTGAAACATGTCTTCAGCTTTCCATATGTTAAAAGAAAATCTTTTCTTTGCTTTTTACAAGCTGATAACACATTTGGGGGAAATACTTTGTTTCTTTGTTTTTATGTAATTTTTAAATTTTTATTTATTTTACACCCCAACTGCAGTTCCCTACCCCTCACATTTACTCCTCTCTTTCTGTTCAGAAAGGGGCAAGCATCCCTTGGGTATCAACAAATCATGACAAATTGAGTTGCCATAAGACTACGTACCTCCCCTTGTTTTAAGGCAGGGCAAGGCAACCTGATGAGGAATAGGTTCCTAAGAGCCAGCCAAAGCATTATGGATAGATCCTGCTTCTATTGATAGAGTTCCACAGAGGACCAAGCTCCACAACTGTCAGATATATGTAGAGGGCCTAGGTCAGTCCCATTAAGGCTCCCTGGTTCTGATTGTTAGTTCCTGGAGGCCAGGTTAGTTGTTTCTGTGAGTTTTCTTGTGATGTCCTTAACCCTTTTGTCTCCTACAGTCCTTTCTCCCTCTTTTCATCAGGATACCTTGAGCTCAGCCTAATGTTTTGCTGTGGGTCTCTGCATCTATTTTCATCAGTTACTGGATGAAGGCCTTCTGATGACAGTTTGGATAGTCACCAGTATGATCACAGTTCAGGCTACACATACACTATAGCTAGGAGTCATCTTTGTAGAGATGTGAGAGTTTCTCTTGCATTTGGGTTCTACCTAACCCTGAAATGTCCCTACTTTCCAGTCATCTTTTTCAGTATCTCCCCCCCCCCAACTGATCCCTCAAGTTCCCATCCCCACCTGTCCCAGGTTCACCCAGGAGATATCCTCTAAGGGTACATATTCTTTTTATGAAATATGCTTAAAACTCACTTGAAGTAGGATGTTTAAGACATGTAAAGAGAAGCATATTAAAAAAATAACAAGCAAAAAAAAAAAAAGATATGCTTTTGTACTCTTTACTTTTTGGCTTGAAGTGTTTAATTTAGAATTAAAGTGTGTTCTCCATAGTTCCCTTTTAAATACCTGAGTGTTTGTAGGAGAGTTATTTTATGATCCTCACTAAATTGAATCTTAATGTCTCCCTGACTAAAATGTATTATAACTATTACAATTTTAGGAATATTAACTAAGTTGTGCTATAGTATTAGCTGCTATTCATTTGTCTTAAGAGAAAAACCCACATTTATTTTTCATTTTGAATAATTTTATTATTAATGTTATACATTATTGATGTAATTTGATCAAACATGACCGAGTTTATATGAATTTATATCTTCTATCCCTCAGGATTAAACTAGTAATTTGATATTTGGGTGTTGTCATGGAGGGGAAGCTAGACAATAGAGGAAGCATCCCAGTGCACATTAATACCCTTTTTATGTCTGACCAGGGCCTTCTGTATATTGTACCCTTTCATGTCTGAGCAGTGTCTTCTGGGTTCTGAAAAAAGTTGAAAGCATTTTATTTTTAGTACCTGTGACAGGCATGTATATATAGTTTGTCTTTTCTTTGTAGGATGAAGTGGCACATACTCTTACTGAGAGCAGAGTACTAAAGAACACCAGACATCCATTCTTAACAGTAAGTGCTTAAAGAGCTGCTATTATGACATTTTATAGATTGGGATTTTACTAAAGAATGAAATTATGACAGTGTTTTAAGTAACATTTATTTGTCTTACCAAATTCTTTATTACAGGCTGTAAGTTCAATATCTTTGAAACTGTTGAAAGATGTAAATTAAGTGTATAACCTGTATAGTATGTAATTATAGTTCCTCCCATTGTCCATGTACAACTTTTTAAAGTTTTCTTTCCTCCTAAGCGTGTATCTTCTCGATTTAAAAAAAAAAAAAATGTGTCCATAGAGCAAGTAGATCACCTCTGGCATTTTAAGTTCACTAATAAAGTGGTAGATTTTTTAAAGCCTGTTTTTATTTTTATTTTTTTAATAGTAGTACATACAACCCAGGAATGAGGGTTCATGACTGTAATACCAATGCTGAGAAGTTGGTGACAAGAGGCTCTCTCCGTGTTTGAAGTCAGCTTGGGTTCCTAGTGAACTCCAGGGATACCTGGGTTACAGTTTACACCTATCTCAAAAGAAAAAAATTAAGCCGGGTGTTAGAGGCACACACCTTTAATCCCAGCACTTGGGAGGCAGAGGCAGGTGGATCTCTGTGTGTTTGAGGCCAGCCTGGTTTACAGAGTTAGTTCCAGGACAGGCTGGGAGAAAAAAAAAATGGAAAGGAAAAAAATTAAATGAAGATTTTACTTTTTATTTTTTGTTTGCTGGCTTCAGATAAATATTAAAATAATCACACAGCATGGTCTTCAGTTTTCAAAGGGCAAAATTTTAAATGAGCAGATTTAACAGAAACAGGATACCTTTCATGGTAGACATACAGGAATGTGAAATGTGTTTAATATGGGATGAGTCCTGTGTTTTTTCATTAGAGAAGTATAAAGCTTGACTTAATTCATGTAGCATGTTTTCAAACAGGCTATTTTTACATCCATTCTGGGATTCTATGAAATAGAGGATAATTTATAAAATTTCTCTATGTTCCATTCTGTATCAAACATTTTAAGATTAAAAATAACATCTGCATGTTTAAAATTGGAACTTTTTATTATCATTTTAAGACTATCTAAATTAAACATTTAAATAGTTTTCAATAGATACTGCTCCTTGTTAAAGTGTTTATTGTCTGTTTTCTAATGTAATGACATTTTACTATCTTCTTATGACTTACAAAATTACCAGGGCTTACTTTATTGAGTTGTGCCACGTTTTATCCTCAGCATATACAAAGTAGCACCTAAACTACATTGAAGGTAATAAGTAAAAGCAACTGTGTTTCTGAAGAACTTCCACTACAGTTCCTTGTAGAGACTGCAAAGATGAGAGCTAGAGAACTGACTACTAACTCCATCTCAGGTGGCACAGTAGGCTGAAAGTGCTCATCGCCATTACTGATTTGTTTTTACTGATCATATTTCTTAGAAAGCACTTTTACAAAGTAAATATACTCTTCAGGAACAATGTCAGTTTGTCTTTCAGTTATGCTGACTGTTTTTAAGTGTTCTATTTTTGGTACCACTATACTTTAAGAATACAGGATTACAATTAACCTTTATTCTTTTTCATTTCAAGTCCTTGAAATATTCCTTCCAGACAAAAGACCGCCTGTGTTTTGTGATGGAATATGTTAATGGGGGAGAGGTGAGTCAAGATGTCAATCTAGCAATTGCATGGAATATTAAATTGAAAGCATTATAAGCAATATGAGTTAGGGTGATTCTCAAATTGATGGGTTTGCACAGTTCTTCCTGTTGAGTAAACAAAAGCTAGAAAGTTTCTGCTGGGGTGTTTTGATCATTGGAAAGCATAATCATATTCTTTATTTTACTATATTTTGAAATCTAAAATGTTTAACTACAGTATGATTTTTTAAAAAAAGGGACAGAGATCCCTTTACTTACTGATTGATTTTGGATTTATTTTATTTTATGTATGATTATTTTGCCTGCATGTGTGCCTGTGCAGCATGTGTGTACTTGGTGCCCACAAAGTTTAGAAGAGGGCATCATATCTTCTGGAACTGGAGTTACAGATGGTTTTGAACCAGCATGTGGGTGCCTGGACTTAAACCTGGGTTGTTTGCAAAAACAAATTGTCTTAAACAGCCCCAATAGTATGATTTTTGGAATTATGTTATTAGATTGTGGAACCATAAATAGTTAATTATGTTTTAGATAGTTTTTCAAATAAGCCTTCAGTGAAACTTCTAAAAAGTTTTTAAAACATATTTTGAACTCAACCAAACTATTCCAAAGACACATTGCAGGTGAGTTTTTTCCTTTTTGTGTATTGTAGTGACTGATAATAAAGAGATTTAATAGATCTTGCAGTTTGGGAGCAAATTAAATCATTTCACTTTTAGCTTTTCTTTATTTTCCTTCCTGTTTTGAACAAAATCAGTGTGAAGGAAAAGTGTAATAATGTACAGAAATAGTAACTGGAAATACTTTACATTGTGAGCTTTCTGAAATAAATGTATTAAAAGAAGATTGTATCTTGTAGACTTAAATATAATTATTTCCCAATCAAAATTAATACCTGCTGTGAAATATTTTTCATAAAGATTATCTGGTATATAGAAATTACTTAATTTCAAATTCTCATTCACTCCCTGGTAATCATATTTTGTATTGAGATAGTACAGAATTTTCTTAATGTATTAAGACATTGAGTTTACTATAAAGGAGTATATAATTTCTTTCATACAACATCTAGGAGTACGTAGTTTCTAGTGTGAGTATATTATCAATTAGAATGCCTAAGCCCTAAGTACAAATAAGTTTATAAAAGACAATTTTTCAAAAAAGATAGACTCTGAAGGAAATTTTATTAATGGACTGACTAAGCTCTTTCAGGTAGAGATGATCGTGTCTCTGAAGGGTGAGCACAGAACAAAGAAAACTTGAGCAATAAAAAAAAAAAAAAAAAAAAAAAAAAAAAGACCCAGGCATGGAAAACTTGGAGCTTCAGTCAGACATTCTTGAAAACATGAAAAGATACATGGTTTGGAGCTCTGAGACTATCATATTAAAAGCTAGTTTATTGGATGTGGGTGAAAAACATTATTGCAAAGATCCACATATAGTTTATAGTTGTAATCATGTGAAATTATTGGACAATCTCAAGTTATGAAAACTATTTTTAGAGTGACATTATAAAATTGATTTTTGAAAAGCTTTTATTTTTGAAATAAAAGTTATTTTTTATCATTATATGTTGAATTAGAAGAATAAAGGAGAAAAAAATTTTGAAGCTATTCACCTAAAGGTTATAATTTTACTTATAGAGGCTCAAATGTAATTAATGAAACCTCTGTGTTAGTACATGTCAGAATTTAAACTACACATATTCTTGGAATCAATGTAATGTTCAGTTCTCAATTTGGCAACATCGAGAATCTGTGGAGATGGGCCTCTTGGCATGTCTGTGAAGGTTAAGTTAGTTGTGAGTAGCACTCTATGAGTAGCACTATTGTTTGGGCTGGAATTCTGAACTTTATAAAGAGTCAAAAGTGAACAAATACAAGGATTCATCATTTATCACTTTTTAATGCTGAACTGTGGTTCTAGTGTAACCACTGCCTCAAGCTCCTATAACTCCCCTACCATGATAGATTATAACCTTGAACAGTAAGCCAAAATAAACCCTTTCTCCCTTTGGTTGCTTTATGTCAGGTTATTTTACCCCAGCAACAGGAAAAGTAAGACAGCCAGCAATTCCATCTCCAGTATTATAATTCCAAGAAATAAAGATACATGACCAAATGGTATATGAATAAGCACATTTATTATAAAAGTGTGTTATATTAAATGAATGTTCAATAAGAATGCTGCTTAAGTATGTAAAGTGTTGCAAAATTAGTACAAAGCATGCTACTATTATGCTGAAACATAGATCATGTACATGTGCTCATGCCTTGTGTAAATGGGAATATCTCATTATCCACTGGAATTTAGAACTGGCCTTGTAACTGAATACAGAGAAAGCTTAATTTTCACTTGTGTATTCTTCTGTAGCTTTTGTATTACAGATACTGTGTACTTAACTAAAAATAAGCAAATGAACAGTTGACTAGGGAAAAGAGTGATAAGAGAGATTTGACATGATAAGCTATGGGCAAGCAACATTGAGTGCAGTGCAGCCCACAAATCAGCATCTGTATAATTATTTTTAAAATCTAATAATGTGAGAAATCTCATTGCTGCTAATATGCTAAAGCTGCTCCTAGTAATTTAGCTGCTTTTGTATTTAGATGAGAAATAGAAAAATATCCCCATGAGAAATTGTAATTTCTGAAAACTAAGGTACTGTTGAATTTGGTTGAAGAGGTTTCCACTTAAACCTTTTCACAAACTATCTTTAGCTCTATATGGTTTAAAGCCTATAAGTTGGAATTCTGTGATCTCTCACAGACTCAAATTTCATGGGAGCTGGAGACTGAAGGCATGGTAAATCATGTGGGTCTGTTATGCATCTGATAAATTCTTAACTATTATGTTACATTCTTTCTGTAGGTACTAAGGAACCTACCATTTCCATTATTTACTATTTGTGCTTGTTAGCACTTTGCACAGTCTGTACTAATGTCTTTGATAAAATTTATTTTAGTTTTTATATATGATTTTCAGTTACATGTCATTCTTGAAATCTTCTCTTATTTAGATTTCTCATTATTTGGCTGGCATTTTCTCTTCTGTGAACCGAACCTATCTCATTTTGAATTCACAGAAGACAGAAGTGCCGGCAGTCAGCATTTAAATTCTACTTACTAATTTGTGGAGGTGTGATTTGGGTGATTTTTAAGTTAAAAGTATTTCAGATTCGTGGTGATGCTTTTAAACTTGAATTTTTACTACATTTGTGGTTATATAAATATCTCCATTACTGAGTTATTAATCTTTATGTAGGTTATGTCAGAATTCTGTTGCTTTCACCCAAATCTTTTTTAAAAATTCCTAAGCCAAGAAAGCTATATTTCAATATTCACATTAACATCTGAAGTTTGAGGCAAAGTGGTCTTTGTCTTGTGCTGTTTTATGATACAATTTTATAGTAGTTCAAGGCCATTTTCCTAAAATCATTAAACCATCATAGGACTTAAGTTTAAGCCAACAATTTGGCAAGTCTTGTTGTTGAAGATGGTGAGCTGCCTAGAACAGTGAGCAGTGTCCAGGTAGCTCTCAGTTTTCGTGATTTCTATACATGGGGGCTATGGTACAGAATGCACTTTCATAGTAACTAGACTTCTTAAAGGATGCTTACCCCAGAGTGACTTTTTTTAAGGAGTTGCAAATAAGAAACACACCACTGTACCCCTGAGGAAGAAAAACAGGAAAATAACAAAAATAATACTTAAATATTTAGAACTGAGATCTAAAACACAGTACATAATCTTCTGTATCTTTTCACCTACCAAAATTCTTTATTTCAATTTATGGGGTTACTACATTTCACTCATGTTTTGCAGTGGCTAGAGTCATAAGACAGACAGAGTTCTTTGCAGTATTGGTAAAAAGCTGTCATGAACATTACAGAACAAATCTTTATGAGTTTTTATTTGTTTGTAGTCATGAGTATTTTAAAAATAATTAGTTTCATTGTGTCATTTTCTTTATAATTTTTATTACAGTTTCATTTATTTTGTGCGCACACTTAGCATGTATGTAGAGGTCAAAGGTATAACTTTTGCGAGTATGTTCCATGTTGTGGATCTCAAAAAGCGAACTCAGATTGCCATGTTTGGTTCCTGTTGACTTTACCTACCGAGCTATCTTTCCAACTGTTATTATGATATTTTTGTGTATAAATAGGATAGTTGTATTGTCTTCACCCTCACCATTCACCCTCTGTACCTTCTTCTTTACTCCGGTCTTTCTCTTCAGATCATCATCTAGGTTTGTGTCTTTTTAAATGGTGAGAAAAAATCCCCAGTTCTTTCTTGTTGATTGAATAATATTACATTGTTTTTGTATGCAACATTTTTATTCATCTGCTGATGAGCATCTAGGCTTATTTTATATTTTAGACACTATGAATCATTTAGCAGTATGCGTGAATATATAAATTATCTCTGTGGTGTGTTGGCTTAGATGCTTTTTGCTGTATACCCCACAGTGGATTAGCAGGGTCACATGGTTGTTCGGCTTTTAGTTTTTTGAAGTGTACTGATGTACATTGAACTAACAGTGATCCTTTTATTCCCTCTGCATCCTGTTTGCTTTCTTGATGATGGCCCTCCTTACTGGAGTCAAGAGTAATCTGTGCAGTTTGTGTGTACATTTCCTGTTTACTGTAAAAAAGAGCAACATGCTGTCATTTAGTTATTAGCAATATCTTTTCAGTTCATTTCTCCACTTCCTAATTGAAATATTTCCTTTTTTGCTATTTAACATTTTGAGTTATTCATAAATTCAGAATATTAACCTCGGTTACATGAATAGTTAGCAATGATTTTCTCCCAATTCTGTGGGCTCTCTATCCACTTTGATAATTGTTTCCTTACTGTTCATAAGCTGTTTAATTTCAGGTAACCCATTTGGACCTATTTGAGTTGTATTCAGACAGTTATTGCCTGTGCTTATATCTTGCAGTTTTCTGCTAGTGGTTTCAGGACTTTCAATTTATAATGGATTGAATTTTTT